ATGAGTAGTATACGTAATATACCTGTCGATACGGCATCAACTCGTATTTTACAGTATCTTCGAACTCATAATTATGATGATTGTGCTATTTATATTAATCGTCTTAATTCAAATACATTCCGTAAAATCTTAACTACTGACTTATCCATCGATACTTTACTCGCTCAGTTACCATTTTCAATTGAAATATTTGAAGTAATCTATTCAAAAATATTTATCACTGATCCAGATACATTTCCTCTTCGAATACTTAAACCTGAACGACTTATATCAAAGATGATTAGTATGTTTTCATTATCAATACATGAAAATACATCATCAACATCTACTATATCTAAATCTAAAGAACAATATATTGATGATGAACATATATTAAGTAATCTTGCTAGTATACTTCGTATTATATCGTATATTCAACCAATATTATTTAAACGTCTTTTACGTCAAAAAGGAATAATTGATGAATGCATACTTTATTTTGAACAACGTCATTCCAGTATAACAAATATTTCAACTTTAAGAAAATCTACATCATTAACACATATTAATCTTAAAGAAACTTTATGCCATGAATTAGAATCAACAATTATTTGTTGTCAACAAGCATTGCATAAACTTGGAACAAAAACAATTACAATGCCACGAACTTCATCATCAGCTCATTCGACACCATCTTTACCAAGAAAGCAAACTTCAATGCCTACATCAACATCAGTAATATCATCAATGACAACTGCTTCAACAGCTAATTCACTAGATGATATACAAAATCGTCTTTATCTACATACAGCAATATTAAATTTAATTGAACCATATTTATCACGTTCAAAACTATATACGATTGTAAATAATCTTACTTGTAAAATTTCAATTGATAAACAAATTTTATTAGCATATGCTCATATTAAAATACATGAAAAACAAATACCTTTTGGTGAACCTTTATTACCATTATTTAAAAGATTTGCATTTGCTTATGAACGTATGTAGAATATATGTTGAATTATATAGTCTAATGTTTATTTAACTGTTTTAGGTATTATTCAATTGTGGAGACGCGTAACTGACAGTACGTTGATCGACGAATGCACGGATGATATCGTGATTGACGACACAACTGTTAAAGGTGTTAGCGGTACGGGTGGAATATGTTTCGAACGAACATTAACTCGTAAGTAAATTTTAACCAAATGAATAAATAAAAATAGTCATTAGTAGGATTGGTCATCGTTACGATGAATAGAGTTGTCAGGTTTTTTTTTTTCTAATCGATACAGGATGGTGATAGTGGACGATAGGAGAGAAAACAAAGAAGAAGAAATATCGAGAGCTTTTCTTTTTTGCTTATAGATGATTGGGAAGCCTATGTCAGATTAGTACAGTCACTCGTTCTTTTATTGATGCGCACTGTGTTTATCGAACAGCAGTAGTCTATCAAACAAGAAAACGATTTTTATCCCTTCCTATGTCCTTCTAATAATCAGATCACGTAAAAAAAAAGAAAATAGTAAGTATGTAGAATATTAATTTACTAAATATAAGAAAACGATATAGAATTATGTATAATTAAATAGGTTGGATATATTAGATGTAAGAAATCAATATTTTTAGATTATGATCATATATATAATTGAAGAAAAAAAAAAGTTTACTTATTTTTTATTTTCTTTCGTTTTCTTTTTTTTTTTGCTGTCGGTTGTAAAAATATATTTCATAGTTTATATGAGTTAGAAGGCCAGACAAAATGTCTGTACATCGATGATTTACATTTTTTTTAATCAAGAAATCAATTACGATATTGAATATTTTCTTCGATATACTGATAGTTGATAGACAGGAGAGAAAGAGAATAAGATGATCAATCTAAATACAATTGTAGTAAGAAGAGAGAGTAAGTAGCAAGATTCGTGCACCTTTGTATATAGACATTTGCCTTCTTCCTTCTCGTCGTTCTCTTCTCAACCATCATCATTTTCATTCTTTCACACACACACACATACACCATATGCTACATCAGTGTCACGATTTTAAAACGAAGCAATATTGTTGTTGATTTCTCACCACTTTTCGTGCATACATTCTTAAAAAATCGCGACAGTCATGCTTAGATCAAAAAAACCTGGCGTACGCAGCAATATCAATAGCAACAACAACAATAATCACAAATATGCACGTTATTCAGTTTTAGAAGAATTTCAACCATATCGTAACCGGCACGGTAAGTAAATGAAAAACATGTTTTATATTTGTTATTCAGTCTTTATTTTTTTGTTTTTTGTCTTATCGAAGTATGTGCGGGCTTTTTTGCAATCGATTAGCGTTTGTAAAATTGCACATCTTGTGTTTATGTATTCCTGATGAATTGACTAGTTGATTGAATCAATCAATGAATAGATACAACATGATTAGTTGTTGATGTATCTCTCAGTAAATATTCATGAAAGAACTGGTACGATACTATGCAATCAGAACAAAATAGATAGAGCTAGTTTATTTAGCTAGTGGCGTGATGACATGCATGTCGATTCCTGCGAGGTTATTAATAACGTCGCATAATCTTTCTTTTTGTGACATCAACATATTTTAAGGAGGCAGTTATGTCGCTCGTTTGTTCATCTTGAGTTGGTTATCGTACAAGAAGAAGAGAAAGCAGGAAAACTACTTAATAGAATATAATCGATACACGATGACGTGAAATATCATCATATTCATTCTATTTGTTTTGCGTACAATTGACGATCGTGTTTCATCAAATACAAATCTTTCAACTACTACTACTACTACTACTACTACTACTACTACTACTATTTGATGGTACCATGTTCAGTTTTACTAATCGCAAATTCAATATTCTCATCGAATAACGACAGGGATTATTCGACATACGTTTGTAAAGAATTATCTTCTTTTTTGGTTCATCTAAAATGAGTCAAAGTTCGAACAACGATCAATTGATATTGTATTTTACTTCTTTGTCTTGTTCTCCTTATTTGTTTTCATCATCACTATCACCATCTTCTACAATACAGAATAGATCATTTAGATTACCATCACATTGTACTTCACATGTTGGTGAGTTTATATTCTAAGACAGATAAAAAATGTTATTCACGATACTGTTATAGTAAATGAGTTTATTTGTTCATTTTTTATTGAATCAGTTATATTTAATTGTTTCGTTTTCTCTTCTTTAGAAAACGAACTTCCAGTTTGTAAAGATGATATGGCTGTTAAAGATGGATTTATAGGTAAGAAAATTTTGATTAAATCCTATGACAATAAACTGGAATAAGAAAAATATTTTTTCATATTAAAGTCACTGTCAAAATTTGTTAAATATATATGAAAATCGAGATTATGCAATTTGAAACTTTGGATTTTTTTCTTTATTTGAAATCGGAGTTAAATATAAAGTTTCCATGAGTCGGAGAATAAATCAATAGAGATATTTGCATAAGTAAAGAGATATTCTTTTTTTTTTTTTTACAGATGTAATAATCATTAGATATCATCAAATCTGTTCAGAAAAGATGTATCTATTCTCTTTTTCTTAGAGATCACTAACATATCAATTAGATTCAATCGTTGAACGTGCTAGGTTGAGTATTGTCCGTGTTGCAGCGTAGCGAACTAACATTAGTATTTGTGGAGCTAATGTAAAAGAACATTGTAAGATAAGAATCGTTATCTTTAAACTGTCATAAACTTAATAAAATGTTGTCACTTAGCAAGCATATGTATCAATGTAGCTAATGGAATTTAATGTTTTAACGATATCATCACATCGTTGAATTATGAGTATAGATTTTATTGATTTTAATAGTGTTATGCTTAAAGAGCTTTTATGTCTATCTGAAGTGGTAAAAATTATGACATCTTGATCAATGTTAGTTTTTTGTGTCGCATAAGTGCTATAGTAATAAAGAAACAGCTAGCAGAAAACGTGTTGGCATTGACATGCAGACACTATTATTTATGAAGATATACAGATCCATTTGTCTCCTTGACAAGAGAAATCATATTTTACAACCTTTTTTTTTATGTATTAATATATACAATGAATATTTCAATAATATCTTTGAAATATTTCTTTTTTTTTATCATTATGAAACTATAATTATGTTCATATTGATTAAAGATAAAAGACTAAATATATTCTTCGGTCGATTACTCAAATAACAGCGAATAACAGCAGGATATCATCGGCTGATTGGGTTCATACTTATTCTGATGCTCAGTAGGAAATGTTTACCTCATTGTATAGTATATAATGACAATGGAGAGTTATAGAAGACGACTGAAGCATAAAATAATGATGATGTATTTTCCTTTTCTACATCGACATATAAACAATTTATATACAAATCAAACAAATGTCTATGATGAAAAAAAAATGACGATGATTAATATATGTATTTTTTTGTTCTGTTAATTAAATCAAAATTAATGATATATGACACTTTCTATAGATGTTTTCTTTTTCTTTTTGTTTTATCATTATAATGAAAAGAACCAACATACACGTAATTTTCATTAAGTAATCACCCTATGTGATCACATCTGCTGGCTTCAGTAAAGCTTTCAGTAGTGGCAAACGAGCATGATTATAGTTATCATTCACCCATTAATATAATATCGTACTTATATATTCGGCAAAAGAAGAGAAAGAGAAGCAGTACGTCGTCACACAGAAAGCAAGTAAAAGAGAGAGAGAGAGAAAGAGATGGCTCTTCTTAATATACACACATACTGCTCTCTATACTCGACAATGTAATGCATCTATCGAACTTTATCATAAAATAACATCCATGTTGTTTCTCTGTTGATCGTTCATTGCCATATTCACCTCCCACTTGCGATATCTAATATATATATATATACATATATTTATTCGACATTTTCAATGGAATTGCATATCTTTCATTGACAATAATATCAAATCAAGTTATTCCATCCAATATTTATCCAATTTTAAGAACCAAATAAATCTTATTAACAATATGTCAGATGCTGTTAATTTTCATTTTATTTATGCACAACATTCACCACATACAATCAATAATCATATTCGAAAACAGCAATCGACTAGTAAACTTATTAATACATGTCTTTCGACAGCTGCTCAATATCTTAATCGAACTAAAAGTTTTCATGTACCACCAAATACAACGATTATAAATAACAAATATAATAAAAATTCTCATCAAAAAGATTGTTTAACAAATAATCTTGATTTAGCACAATCTGTACCTTCAAATATCAATAATTTTAATTCAACATTAGCTATTCATAGTCTTCCAATAACACCAATAATTCATCATGAACATCGATTACAAACGATTTCATCAGAAATAAATTTAAATGAAAATAAAAAAACACAAGGTATTGTATCTACTTTACGTCGTTCATTAAAAAAAAATAAAGAACGATTTTATAATAAACGATCAACAACAATGAAATCATGTAATTCATTAATTAATTATGAACAATCAAGATATATTCAACCTCATCTATCAATGACACCAATATTAACTTTTCGTCATGAATATCTAGAAAATAATACTGATTCATGTTCAACAATAACAATGAAAAATTATAGTTCGACAACTTTAGTTGATAATAATAATGATGATGAATTAGAAGATAATGATCAAATACGTAAGAAATTTATATTTGATCTACAGAAACAAAATGAAGAATTCAATTTTTATAAATCTAATAAAGTCGTTCGTTTTCTGTGTTTTTTAATTTCTCAGAAGAATCGATCGATAGCGATCATTATCTCTATTTGTTTTATTGTATAAGATTTTAGAAGTGATAATTGATATTAGACAAATACTCGAAAGCAAATTCATTTGTACGTTGTTATCAAAGTCACATTGATATCACTTGATACTTTTTATATAATTTTTTTGTTTCCTTCAAAGAACTATTAGAAAAGGTCAAAAAATATAAACAAATACAGATCTTATTCTATCCTTATTTGTTTATTATTGGCCTTATAGATAATAGAAATATCTTTTATTGAGAAACAAAGAAAAGAATAACTAGATTTTCCTTGTAAATGGCAGTTCGATTGACAATAGGCATATTTCCTCTTAATGTAAAAAGCAATGAGGTTAACTTTTCTAAATGCGCATCAATGATAACGGTCATTCTATTATAACAGATTCGATTACTCTCTATTTACCACTATTATCAGTATTTTTTCTTTTTTTCTTTCTATTACAAAAAAAAAGAACAAATTGAATCTTATGTCTGTCTATTTCGTTTTTACTTCATGTGAATTGAGAAAAAGAGAACGAACAGTTATGTCGACAGCTTTATCTTGTATGTATTTTGATAAATCAAAATGTATGTAATATTATATTACATTTTGTTTAATATATCAATTTTTTTATTTGTAGCTCCACTTCAACCATTAGGTGTGAATGGACGAAATCGAATACTTACTAAAAGTCCTATACCTCCATTATCATCATCACCCGTTGTTCAGCATCAACAGCAAGCAGTTAATTTACCTCCAGCAGCATCATTGCAATCACTTCCAACAACAACATCAAACGTTACAGATTCCAGTCCCACAGAAAATGTTCAACAACAACAAATAACAAACTCTGATTATGATGAAAAAGAAAGATTAAAAAATGATTTAATACAATTAAAAACTGAATTACAAAAGTCTAAAGAAACAATAGCACGTTTACAAAAAAGTGAAGAACAAATGCGTGAAAGGTAAAGTTAATTATATATATTTAATGAATGAGTGTTGTGTAAGTATAAAATTCTTGTTTATTGTTAATATCTAAATAACGAAAATATATAGCATATATAATAAGCATAAGTAAAATAAGATAATTTCCAATTAATGTCGTTAATATAAAATAATAAACAACTGTTTGACATTGTTTAACATGTAAATTATCAAAAAAACGACGAGTTCCAATCGATAGACCAATTAACCAATATATGCTAACACATATCATACATACAAAATAAAAATTCGACAATATTAAATAAATACTAGGATGATTTTTTTTTAATTCTATTAGGATAAAATAAAATAATGTACTAGTAAAACCAATTAGACCGGATGATTCAATAAAGCGTAAAGCATATGTATAAGATTCACATGGATACAACATATAAATAAATAAACTTATTATTATTTCTATTACGGAAAATATACATATTATTGATAGAATTACTTGATGATTATTAAAAGACATCTACAATAGATAAAAAGAATATTTCCTAAAATTGATCAAGGTTAAAAATGTTGACCTTTGCAATAAGCATATATAACAATAAAGGAACTATGTATTGAAGTACAAATACTGATGATTAGTACAAGGATAATTGAATAATTATCAGTGGTAACCAATGACATATAGGAGGTACTCTAATCTATCCATCTTGTGTTATTCTTAAGAAAATATTTCAGCCGTCTCTACAATCGTCAGAAAGTAAGGTCAAGGAAAAAACAAGAAAGCTTTTATGTCGTGTGTGATAAAGTTTTGATGATAAGCAAAGAATTCCGTTCGGAATATTGTAATGCATTTAACTCATAGAACTAATCAACCTTCTCAAAACAGACACAGAACTAAAGCCCTTCGGTTTGATCCCACTCTAAAAGTAATAACCAGTTGTGGTTTGATTCTTATAAGATTATGGTCAAGGTTGTCTGTAGTATGCATTAGCAGCAGAATGGCAATAAACAATAAAAAGCATCCCATATCTCCGAAACGACTTAAAGATTCAGACAATAGAATTTCTTTGAAAGTAGAAGTACGGTTCTTGCCCCAAAAATTGTCAGTCATTGGACTCTGTATATAAAAAGTCTAAAATAGCTACCTGATATGGTGAAATTCTAAACTTATGTTCTTGATTGAAGAATTTCAGTTGATGTTTTTTTTCTTTAATTTAGATTAGCAGAACAAGCTCAACGACAATTAGAAAAAGGTGGTAAATTTGAAGATCTAAATCAAGTATCTCGTCCAACCGAGTTAATTCGTTCATATAGTTCACTTTATTCTCAAGCTCGTATTGATGCTCTTGATGCATTAGATAATATACGTGAAATGTCTGATGCTGATGATCTTAAATCAAAATTATTATTTTCCGTTGTTGTCGTATGTATAAAATGATATTTAAAAATAGAATTAAAAAAAAAAATTGTTTTTTTTTGAAAGCTTGCTTTTCGTCATGCACAAAATCAAGCAAAAGATATACGAAATAAAATTAAACAAATTCTACAATTAAGCAATGATAAAAGTTCAATTGTTCTTGAAGAAACAATTGAAAAATATTTAAGAACTAGTATACAAAAATATGATGTCGGAAAAATTACTTTTGTAAGAAAATTTTTGTTTTTAAATTTCTCTATTGTTTTGTTTTTAAGGAAGTCGAAAATCAGTTATGGACTACTCTATATGATTATCCAAAATTAAAATCTTGTAATGAATTACTCAAATATATCTATTCCGCATGTCGAACTGCGTATGAATAAAAATCAAAAATATCATTTGAACTAAGGCTTTTTTAATTTATTTATAGATGGGGTCTTGTTAATCAAACACCTTCATATTATATTGAATTTCAAACAACAAAATATGATAAACAAATTCATGAACGTTTTCATACATCGGATAATGAAAGTGAAACAATTATTGAATATATATGGCCATGTTTAATTGATGGACGTGATCGGACATGTGTAGCAAAAGGCGTTGTTATAACTGATGAACGATATTTATCAATACCGAAAAATCAATTATCCTAGCATTCGTGTTGAAAATAAAGAAAAAAACAAATATTGCTTGAGTGTTCTAGTCAGTCAGTCGGTTATCGTCGAGTTAGACGACATTCCAAACCAACAGGCAGGCTAATTTGTGTACGATAAAACATTATTTCTCTTAATTTTTATTGTTTGATTTCATGTGTGTATCTTTGTATCGATAAAGTATTTAGACAGACTGAGGTTTTTTTTGCTACTTTTATTCATCAAAAATAGAACTTATTTTACAATTTGAAATATAAATTATGTTTTATTCATATCAGTGTGATAATATTAGCCTAGAAAATTTTTTCAAGTGAGAAAATTTTTCTATTAAGGTCTCCTTCCGACCTTCAAAATCGATTTTTTTAAATACAATGTATAATATAGAATAGTACTAGAGCGTGCCAGTCCAATATTGGTATGATTTTCAGACTAGTGTCTTGCAATCGGGTCGGGTACCGAGTATGATTTTATATCCAGATAGAAGTGAAAAGCTGAGCAATTTATTGTACTTGAAGAATAGGTCACAGAAATGGAAAACGACGTTATTTTACTAATAGAATTCGTTTTTAATGAAAGTCTATCTAAAGATTATGGTGAATCATACGATGAAGTAATTAAATATATGGAAAGGAAAATAAATTATCAAAAAGGATGACCATGTATTATCGTGATGAAAAAAGCATTCACAATTATGACGTTTAACACCAACACTACTTTTCTTTCCAGTGTCATCAGCAACAAAGAAACGTATACTGAGCGAAATTAATTGGATTTTAGAAGTAGAAAGATACTAAGTGAATCCTGAAGCACTCGATTCACTTGTTTTTCTTGTGGAACTTGAAATGATCTCTTTTTTTGTGTTGTTGCTTATGGAAGAAACTAAATAGTATACTTCTTTATATAAAATAGAAGTTTGAAAATCTTACTATGATTGTGAAAATATCTTTTGATTGTCGATTAGCTTCGATTCGGACTCGAGTTTATAAACAAAGTGCCAGTCGAATCGATTTGGTCTGGCTTATTCAGACTGATTCTCCATCTCTGCTCTCTGAAACTTTTCATAAATGATAAACCTATAACAGTAAACTTATGAAATCTTTTTTCCTCTCTAAATATCAGCATGCAGGACTTTTCTAGAGATCACTGTTCAAAATGGACCTTCGACTCGTACAAATATTTTTCTACTATACTTCAAAATGTAGAACAAGAAATTGTTTATTTGAAAAATAACTGTTTGTCCCTTCAGTAAAGGAGAAAAGATTTTTTTCTTGCTGTTTTCTTTTATTTTTAAGGGTGTCGAAGTCTTTAAAATCGGGAAAACTATCAAAAGTTTTCTACAAAACTACAGCATATTCAAAAAAATGCCTTCTCATCTGAAGAAGTATCAGACGTCCCAAAAACAAAACAAAACCGCAGCTCTCTATAGTGAATGATGTTTTAAAAAATTGATCGGAGTTTGATCATCAGCATAAAAACGCTTAAAAATGATTTTTCTTTAATAGCATTTTAAATCGAGCTAAAATCGTAAACATTGTATACCAATGGTAAGTGCTCAGTCACAGCGTAACGAACTATATGCTTGTCACTACTTAACTAATAATAGATGGCGCCAGTTATCATCCTTGCCGTCACATGTATATTAATAATTTCCACAATATAAGAAAAATAGTAATTGCGTCAGTCAGTTTCAGAATTTAAAAAGAAACTCGTTGAAAATGTTCGAAATCCAATAATATATCTATATATTTGTAAAGTAGACATTTCAAGGCAATATACTCGCATAATAATCTCAAAAATAATTTTTGTGACGAAAACCAGTTTTTTTTTGCATGTACAAGGATGAAAGACTTTAAATGAAGGCCTCAAAACACTGATTTTTTATTGGCTCAAAAGTTTAATTCTTTTACCTTAATAAAACATTAATAATTTCTTATTCAGTTTCAGTACCATTAAGATAAATCATTTTTATCAGCTAGATTACATTCATTTTAAAATGAAAATAATTTTCCATTAGACTAACAATAATAATAGAAAAAGTTTGAATTTGTAAAGAATTATATGTAGTACTTTGTATCTTTGTTGATACCAATAAGATTTGCGAACTGTTATTTATACATACATATAATAAAGTTGATAATAGAGTAAATGCGTATATCGATTGGATTACACTAGCTGATGATTAATATGAAGCATAAAAACAAAAATAAAACAAGACTCGATTTCGAGTATATCCGAACGATTTTTCATGTGATTGTATCTCAACTGACTCAATTATAGAAGTAATTTTCGTGTCACTTTTGCATTTCGATAGATGACTCTATTAGTTGTTCGCAAGTCCAATTATTATAGTTGCAAAATAATAATCCAAGTGTTTAAATTAAAACATAAATATTGAATTCGAAACTATTGAAGATATAAATAAGGCTCGTCGACGATAGACAACAATCACATTAATATTTACCATTTGAAACAAGTTGTTTGTTGAAATAATCATATATCATAACAAAATGATTTTTTATTGTTGTCTTCTCAACGAATAATGATGAAACACGTAGATCATAAAATCCTATGCAATCTTTCAAAATCTTTAGAAGCTTTGAAGTTTAAAAATCTCTTCACCAATCATACTATATTACAATAGTTCTCTCGATATTCATCTTGCGAAGAAAAAAAACATAATTTTTCTAAAATCTTCTTCCAGTGTCAAGAACCAGTTTGGTTGGAAATAGTGCACTCGCGAATCATACGACTATCAAATCTCGGTTTGATTCAGTCGTCTTATCTATGTTCGATACGAAATTCTTATCTTCCACAAAAATCCTAATAGAAAGTTGTACAATAGTTAAATTAAATATCACTTCAACACTATGTTGTGTAGTGTTCGCTTTTTACCCTCGTTATCATCATCATTCACTAGACGAACATATTCAAAAATGTCAGTCAATGAAGAAACAATCTTTCTAATTATGGACACCAAGGCTTGTTTATCACTGATGCCGATCCTCTTGTTATAATAACAAAAGCATTTGGTGACATTAGTAGATTCAATAGCTTCATTGACAAACACAGAAATATTGTTTATGATTCAATGCACCGGATGTCCCAGAAATAATCTACCTAAAAAATGAAATAGGATATCTCTATCGTATATTTATCCAATTAGATATGCAATTTTCCTCTATCTTTAGAAAAGAAATTTGCTCATTTCGTCCAAATACCATGAAGATATCTCGTTATTTTTTCGAAGACTACTTCCGAAATACTCAGTATGTTTCATTCAATCAAAGTTCACAAAGACAAAAATATATCGATAATTCGAATAAAACTTTATTGTGAAAATGAACATGATCTAAAACATCTTTGCGACTCTATAAAAAACATATTCTGGAGATAATGAAATTTATCTTCGAGTATTTAGTAATGTATTGTAGCGAACGGGTAAACTCTATCTAGTTGAAATATTTTATCATCATTCGCTTGATGAAATTTCATCGCATAATTTGTCATTTACTGATTTAATATCGTTCACTTAGTAAAGTGAATGAAGAAAAAAAGAACTATTATTCTAGTTTGATATAGTATCGAAAATCATTAGAAATACTTCTCCGAACACATCCATCAGATTTTCTTAGTCTTAGAAATTTATATGGATTATGGGTGAAGCATATTCGTGTAATGAAAATATTCATAAATCATTGGAATACTATGAGAAAACTATTAAATAATATTAAAAAAACACATGCTGAAGATCATCCACATATGGCTTATTTCTTTAACAGTATTGCTTATGTTAATAAAAGAGAGAAGAAATATTTTCGGGTATTATAATTCTATGAAAAATTATTAGTAAAAGATGAAAAAAATTCATCTTGCAATGAAACATTATCAATTATTACTTGCAACTAAACTTGAAATACATCCTTCAGAACACAATTCAACTGCTAATATTCACAGAAATATTGGTCTTCTATATGAAATGTAAAGAGATTTTCAACAATCTTGAACATAACATATGATGCAAAGTAATAGAACCGATGTCCGACCCTGTTTCTCTTTGATAGGAAGGTGCTGAAAGAAAACTTTATTTACCAGAAGATAGAGAATTTCTTTTCTCTTTTAAATCTTATATAACTTCTTTTTACCATACGTTCATTAATGAAATGTCGGAACAGGAAAAAGAAGTATCCTCAAAATAGGTCCGCACTTTTTATGTAATATGTATAATAACAATGCAAGATATCAATTCCTATATCTCTTTAATAAAGAAGTGTTGGGACAATAACTTTTTTTTCATTTGATAGTAAATCTTCTCTTCTTTCAAATTGCTTACAACTTAATTTTGTTTTAATTATTTTTCATCATCTAAAAAAATATCATAACTGCAAAAAAATCATTTTCTATAGCTTCTCGCAATTTTTTCGACTCTTTTTGTTGAGTATTATTATTCATCTGTGCAGCGTTTTCTGAAAATAACTGAGTTTTTTTTTCGTAAATTACGACTGATATGTGGATTAATTAACGTTGAAATGCTTAGCTAATTTGTCCTGATCAATACCGCAACGATTCTTAACAGATTTCACCAGTTGGTTCTATTTGGATTAGAAAGTTTTACTGGACAACCGTTCTTTGGTGTTAACTTTGTTGGGTTCATATTTTAAGTCTTTGCTTGACATGCTATAAATCGTTGTTGTTGGAATGATTTGCTTCATAAAGTAACTAATTGTCGAAAAATTAATGTCTCAACGTATTTACTAAAGAGATATATGTATTGATATTTTGCACAATTATTTTACATTATATGAAAAGTGTGGACTTATTTTGAGGGTGCTTCTTTTTTCGGTTGCCACATTTCATTAATGAGCTTGTGATAAATATAGATTATATAAGATTCGATAGAGAAAATATTCTCTATGTTCTAGTAATAAAGTTTTCTTTGAAAACCTTTCTATCGAAGAGAAATAGGGTTGGACATTTGTCCTATTACTATTGCATCATATGCTATTATAAAGAAACAGTCACCATCTATCATCTTATATTACCATGTTAACATCCAGATGTACTACAGATCGACAATGATATTAAAAATGTTCGAAGAAAATTGATGTGATATTTTGTATTTTGTCGTTGCTTATTATCAAAAAAAAAATGTTAAATGAAAATAAATAGATAATAAATGTCAAGAAAAAATATTGACTTTGACTTTGACTTTGTCATATGAAATGCATTGAACGCCCTTCTTAGTTCTACAATTGAAGGTTTTTCAGGTGACTAAAATGAAGATTATTTTCAGATGTCTAGCATAGAATAACGTTGTTGATACATAGTAGGACGAATAAGTCTTCCCATCATTGTCTAATTTTACTATTAAATATGTTGCGACTTCCCCGTTGTGAAGGTATCTTGTTTTTTTCGAATGTATTCTGCTTATTTAGGAAGTAGTGTAAAACTTAAATTATAGTAATTTGTGAAATAAAAAAATATTGTTTTCTTTGTGAATAGTGTCAACATTTGATAGAGAAAACCAATATATGAAATATATGATGAAGATCTTCTTCATGTTTCTGTTTATGGTTATTGAAAGATCAAAACAAATTTAAAATTATTTATTTACTAAATAAGTATTTTGTTTTTGAGAAAAATATGATTATTAAATATATGGAATCTTTCTGATAAAGCAAATTCAAACAGAAATTAAACAAGAAATCTTCAACAGATGAAGTTTTTTTTTCGAAACTTTTGATGAGACTTCTCTTTACTTTGATCGGAAGTAAAAATATCGAAAATAAAAAGAATGGAAGTAAAAATGACGCAAACTAAGATAGAGAGTTCTAAATATTTTCTTGCTTAGAATATTAAAAATTCATCAGATAAATTTGAATTGAATGTTTACTATTGAAGAAGAACAAGTGAACGATAAGAAAAAAAAGGTTTTATATTGAAGTTTATCAACATTAAAGAATGTTTCTGTTGGATAATTATAGTTTCATTTTACTACAACTAGAGACAAACCATGGAGAAGATCAGATACTGGAATGAGATAATCATTATATCGATTATGTAAGGTATGAATGTGTGAGCGGACGAGGCTTACTCACACTCTCACATCCATTTTAACTTTGACATTTTTACTTTCAACCAAAGTTCAAATCAACCTTTTTTTGAATATTGTGCGAGTTGAGTCAATAAAAAAGGATTCTATTTCAGCTAACACTCGATTTTTCATTATAGTAACTAAAATAAAAGTTGGGCAAAGAAATATTTTGTTTGTATATGTATACGAACAACATCGAATGTCTTTGAATAAATAATAATTATAATTCCAGAATATTATGGTGTGAGTTACTGTTCGAGAAAAAAATTTCATCAAGAGAAATACGTTTCACACAAAATGATTCGCACTTTAAGTACTTTTCGAATTCAAAATAAGTAATATATTGTACGTTAAATTATACACTGATACTATCGAGAGTATTTACTTGAATACGTCTCTTGATTTGAAAAATTATATATTTAAAAATATTACATGGACATAAGACATCAAGAATTGAAATGATTCAATAGTTAAAAGTTACTATATATGGCTATTTTTAGATTGACATGTATTATTTTTATTGATTGTTACTTTAAAACGAAGTTTATGCGACATTTCTACGTCAATCAACTGAAAGAAAATAGTTTTGTTTTTCAAGAAAAGTAATTGCCTTGTGTCGAAAAGATTCAGAATGAGAGATTTCAAAACAGGAGTCATAAGCAAGTAAGAAAAAGGGAAGTGTGCTCTTCTCGTTCTGATTACTTACTGTTGCCATGAACAACTGACTAACGTCACTCATTTACTTCAAATAAAATGAAAAGAAAAAGAAAATGTTTTGCACAATTCTTTAGTTTTGACGAACAATTTATAACGAAAATCAAGCATAGAAATGATCACGAGTTTTTAATTGTTGATTTTCAAATTGAAAAATAGTCATTTATGGCTTTTCTACATTCTAAAATACATCCAAGCACAGATGCCTATTATGAAACATTTTCACTTTGTTGGCTAGATGGAGATGTAGATATCACAGATGATAATAAAAAAACACAAATAATGCTTCACTCCATTGTAAAACATTTTAAACCATTTAATGATGCTTACGAATTTAAAAAATATATTGAGCCACTTAATCAAAACCATCGACTTATTCTTATTGTTAGTGGTAGACTAGGTCGAGAAATAGTTCCCAAAATTCATCAACTTCCACAACTTTCATCCATTTACGTATATTGTATGGAAAAACAATTGAATGAAGAATGGGCTAAGCAATTTAGAAAAGTATGGCATTACTTTCTAGTTGTTTGTTTTTCGGAATTCTTTTCTTCAATTTAGATCAAAGATATAATTATTCATCAAGATCATTTAATTACTCGAATCAAATCAGATAAAAGATGTCGAGTGAAAAATGAAGAACGAATTTCATTCAATATGTATATAACTACGGATAATCTAAGTCAATCTACAATTGCACTCAATGAAAATTTTGTTGATTCACATCTTCTAATCAATTATCTTCTTCGATTAGAACTCGATCCGAAAGATCCACGACAACTTATCGATCTCTGTAAGACAGAATACAAGAGCAACAAATCTCAGTTAACCATGATTCGTGAATTTAAAAATGAATATGCCCCAGATAAAGCTCTATTTTGGTATATTCGTGAATCATTTTTATATAGAATGTTAAACAAAGCTTTACGTGAACAAAATATTAATCAATTACTTTTATTTCGTTTCGTCATTCGTGACATACATAAACAACTAAAAGAAAATCAATATATATCACCAATTCGTGTCTATCGTGGTCAATTTATGACATTCAGTGAAATAGAATATCTTCAGACATCGAAAAATGAATATGTTTCAATCAATACATTTCTTCAAGCAAGTATAAATCAGGATAAAGCATTGGAGTTGTTGAAAAGTTCACAAATTTCTAATTATGAACATCAAGCCTTATTTATCATTGATGCCGATCCGAGTATTTCAAGAAAAGATCCATTTGTTGACATTAGTAGATTCAATAGTTTCATCGAAGAAACAGAAATATTATTTATGGCTGGTTGTATATTTCGTTTAATTAAAGTTGAAAAAGAGGGAAATATATGGAAAATTCATATGGAACTTTGTGGTGATAATGAGCCTGGTTTAAAACGTATTTTCGCGTATAGAAGAAAAATACAAGGAAATGAAAATGAAGATAATGAAATTACTCTTCAAACTTTTGGTAATGTATTGCAGCGAATGGGTAAATTCGATCTGGCTGAAACGATTTACCATCGTTTGCTTGATGAAGTTCCATCAAATGATTCGTCACTTGCTGATCTATACTGTTCACTTGGTAATGCGAACAGAGAAAAAAAGAATTATGATTCTAGTTTGGAATGGTATCAAAAATCATTAGAACTACGTCTACGAACACAGCCATCAGATTTTATTAGTCTTGGAAATTTATATGGTTCTATAGGTGAAGCTTATTCATATAATGAAAATAATCAAAAATCATTGGAATCTTATCAGAAAGCTATTGAACAATATCAAAAAGCAAATGCTGAAGATCATCCACATATGGCTAATTTATATAATAACATCGCTTCTATTTATAAAAGAGAAAATAAATATCCTCAATCATTAAAATATTATGAAAAAGCATTAATAATAGATGATCTAAATTCATCATCTAATCATCTTAATGCAGCTAAATCTCATAATAACATTGGTATTATTCATTGTTACTTTGGTCAACTTGATCTTGCAATGAAACATTATCAACTATCACTTTCAATTAAACGTGAAATACTTCCTCCAAAACACATTTCAATAGCTCATGTTTATAAAAATATTGGTCTTGTATATGAAATACAATGTGATTTTGAACAATCATTAACATATTATAGAAAAGCAGCCAGTATTTATCATGAAATATTACCATCGAAACATCCAGATGTGATACAAATTGATAATACCATTCAAAATGTTCTAGCAAAACTTACGTAAAATTTTTTATTTTTGTTATTTTTTTTTTTTTTTGGTTTTTTTTTGAAAAAGAAAAATGTCAGCAGATCTAAAATAGATGATAGATGTCGAGAAAACCTTAGATCTTGATGTTGTCAGGTGAACTGCATTGAACTCGTCTCTTAATTGACAACTATAATTTTTAGATAAATAAAATCAGCAACATTTTGATAAGTAAGAATAACTACTATACAATCAAAATAAATATTGTTCATTTGGATCATGAATCTTTATATAGACTACTAATTTAAATGATTTTATCGTATTTGTCTTCAAGAGATAAAAGCAAGGTTAGATTCCCATTTCGTCGAAAAATTTGATACATTTTTTTCCAACATTCCCGTTTCGTCGAAAATAAAAAAAACGACCGTTCCCGTTTCATCGAAAAATTAAATTGTAACGAAAAAGAGTATAATCAGAGTGATAAGCTCAATTTCTTCGATTGACTTAAACCGTTTCCCTAAAAACAAACTAATTGATATCCCTATACTAATAATCTGTAATTTTTCAAAAGTATATATATGTGGAGCAAAAAGGGAAAATTCAGTTTTTTTGCTATATACTTAAGTATATTCATTATTACACAAAATGATGCTATCTATTGTTCAAAGTAAACGTAATAAACCAACTTTATGACTTGATACCTTTCGCTACACACAAGATAAAATTATAAACAATTATTTATTGGAAATGTGGAAATCGTTTATGTCCTGGATGTGGTATACTATATGGTTCAAAGCCACCGAGCATGAAGAAATCACATAATAATGATGATGATGAAGTGAAATGTTAGGTGGAAGAATTTAGAATGAATTTAAAACGACGCATTGAAGATTCATCACAACCAGTGAAAAAACCTTACAGAGAACAAATAATATCATGATATCTTGAAAAAGTTATGCGATTTATCGGAATAAAAATGTATTGATTCTTTTCTTTTCTATATTCATATTTTCTCTTAATAATTTCCTATTTATGTATCTAAACCTACTCTATAATAAGTTTTCATTTTGACAAATTTATCTTCAAGTAATTAGGCACTATTCCTGATTAGTATGACGAAAAAATCTTATCAAATGATATCATGAATTCTTCATTAATTAATTAGAAGTTATTTTACGACGAAACGGGAATGGAAGAAAAATAAATTTTCGACGAAACAAGAAAATCAGTTAAGCTTTCGACGAAATAGGACCTAATCAAAAGCAAGTATGTCAAAGCTATTAGTTATACTTATGATTGTTCCCCGATATGCAATTTATCTTAATTCTGTATATATGTACAATTCGTACTGATATATTTTCATGGCACACAAGCAATAGGAACAAAGCAATCAATTTCAATTTGTATAAAGTAGATAACATTTAAACTATTTATGAGACAGGAACATGAGTAATGAACTAATTTATATATCATACTACATTCTTTTATCATCCGGGAATAATAATATTTTCTTTTGTTGAAATATCGAACTTTTAGTGTTTTTGTTGTCAGTGTATTTTTCTGAGATATTCCATAAACATGAAATACACTTCCTTAAGTTTACAACTTTTATATGATTTCCTTAATCTGTCTTTTTTGTAGAATAAAGCATATATAATTTATTAAACAAAATTATTATGATTCTAACATTTAAAATTATTGACATTGCACTGGATGTGTTCGTTGATTTTTGAACCAAGCCTATGAATAAATAATATTTAAAAAACAATTAATCATAGTAAATTAAATACTTGAATACGTGTTTCTGAAAATACCCATTGCAGTAGCAAGGCATTCACGTAATTCAAATCTAGATATCGATTATAAACAAATACACTATCAAGTTGTTGAATATAACTTTGTGTAAATATAGTACAGTATCGACGACGATGACCAAATTGTTGAGCTATAGAATGCTGATTTTAATCAATTTTGTTGAATAGTTTTCCTTTGCTCCTAATTAATTCTATCATCATATGATTGAAAAATAGTTCGATATCATGATTTTTTTGATGAGCACAAGGGAATTGTCGAAATGGATACTTGTTCTAAAAAAAAAGAGCATTAGGATCAATAAAAAAATACATTACAATTAGATTAATGTTAAACTTCTTACCATTATATATATTGTTGGTATTTATTAATTGATCATGTCTATGAAATGAAGTATTTGAATAAATAATATTTTGATGATAGATAGGTTCATAAGATGATGATGTTTGTTGTGTACTGGAAATATCCTTTGTGAGTTTTGGACAATCATCACAATGAATATGAAATAAATTATCATCCATTGAAATTGTTCTGATGATAAATAAATTTCTTCTTCTATTTAGTACCTTTTTTTCTCCTAGGCCACTCACTTATAATATATATGACATGTTTTTTCTCTCCTGATCGAGCAAAAAAGATGAGAAAAAAGATATCGATATGAAAAACAGCGACTGTAAAATAAATTAAACGAAGGTAGAAATTGTTGTACTTTTCATAGATGTTACATTTGTCGTTATTCTCTTCCAATTATGTTTGTTTTTTAATACTACTTAACATGTTAAACCAATTTTGAAAGTATCTACAATCACCTCTCATTGTTATTGTCAATGTTAATTGCTTTATTGAAAAAAAGAATACGTCAAATACTAGTTATGTCAAGGAAAAGACATGTTGACGTTATTGATTTAATAAATAACTTCTATTTGTTACAGCAAATGAGCTAATTAACGATCACAATCAATCTCACTTTTCAACGCCAGTCTTTTTAATTCACATAAAGCGACGCAAAAAAAGTTCATACACGTCAAATATTTATAAGAAAATATTTCTTTATAAATATAAACTTTTCATTGGCGTAAGTCAAGCATGATTAATATGTTGTCTTTCTTCTTTGAAACATCAAATATTTTCCTCGTCCTTCGACTTTGATTGATCAAGCATGTACATTGAAGCAAGAAAAAAAAATGTATTTGGATATGTTCAGGTGTATAAACAACAATATGGTCAATGTTGAGATAAAAATTGGGTTTGTTTCTTTCTCGTAATATAATCATACTGTAACAGGAATAAGAAGACATATTATATGTGATCAAAATCAAAAAATATTTTCACTCATTGTCACGCCGTATTATATTTTTGATTTTTCATCATTAAATGTAATTTCTAATTTTTAACGCCTATCATGTAATGTACGTTCGCTCTTTTTCGTGTTGTTTTTCTTTTTTACGTAGGGAAAAAAACAAATCATGAACATGAAAGGTTATATGATATATTTTAGTTATTTGTTCAACATATTTGTTTCAACAAAATGTCCTTCGAGTGGACATCACAACCGTTATCAATAAAATCAATTGCAGCTCAATATTCGTTACCAGTTGCTATTCGATCGGCACCCGGTTTTCGTGGTTCGACTCGTCCAATTATTTTACATTCCATATCTCGTATTACATTTGCATTTGGACGTGCTTTGAGAGCTAGCAAATCAGCAACAAATGGATATGTTTCGTATGCGCCAGTCGATTCAGAAATAGTCGCTATACCTTTGAAATATCCTGGTGAGTTACTTATATGTTTCTTATATCTTCATTGTTTTTAAACTAGGATATTTTGAATGTTTACCATCACATAACATTGGTAAGATGATTATTATTATTTTAAAACATCTTTCAAGTGTTTAATGATGACTTTATTTTAGGACAACTGACTGGTGTTAGTCCTGAAAAGAGTATTCAAACAGTTGTCGAACGCATGCAACTGGATCATCGACCTCAAACATTTTATATAGCATCACCTATGCGTGTCTATACAGTTGAAACTAATGATAGAGGTGTTTCCAGTCGTATATGGCACAACGTTGAAGCTCATCAAATAATCTTATTCAACAAACTTGTTCATGTTGAATATACTCCAACAATAAACGATAATTTAACAGATGATGATTATGAATTTTCATGGTGGTTTTGTTTTGGTAGACAAATATTAAATCGAAATGAATATGCATTAAAGTGTCGTTTATCACAACAACAAAAATGTTATGTTCCATGTTCATCAACAGATGAAGTTAATTTAATACCTGTTGGTCAACATGGTTCAACTAATGTAAATAAATTACAGACAATTTATAATCTTATTGAACAATTTCCAACTCCTTTGAATATTAAATTAGCTCAACTACCTGGTGAGATTTTTATTTTCAGCAGAAATTTTATTACTAGTGTTTTCTTTATAAAGGTTCATATACACATCAAGATTTCAGTGGTAGTTTACAAGTATTCGGCTCTCATTCTGAAGAATTCGCTGTATGTGCATCATTAACATCATCACATATTGCTGTCATTCCAAAAAATACTCCACTTAAATTTGTTGTTTCACCATTATCATCATTATCATCGGAAATTCGACTGATTCTATCAAGATGTCAAATGTTTGTACAATCATTTGATATGCAAATTCGCCGTATTCTTGTATCGTCTCATCATAATGCTTCAGCCCGTCGTGTTCGTTCACGAAATCCGAAAACTCAAGCAGCTATTGAAAATCATTTTAAACAGTTAAAACGATCATGTAGTGCTGATCCAAATTCATCGAAAAAAGATGATCAAGCAACAAATACAACCGATGAAGGTTATCGTTCAGGTTCATCAGCAACTAATAAACGATATAATTATAGAAAACAACGAGCTGTTAGTTTTGTAAGTATTTTCATAGCAAACAAAGAAAAAAAAACCACTTTTTAAGTCTTTTATTTTCATAGGATCTCGAAAATAGTTCACAACATACTCAGCGTCAAAGAAGATCATCAACAGGTGATAATGAAAAATATAATTTACTTTCTCATCATGTTCAAAAAAACAAAGAATCATCATCATCATCTCCACCTCCACCTGCATTACCAAAAAAACCACCTAATTTTCCTTATCCAACAATGCCATTTACTTATGATAGTGGAAGCAATATAATTGAAGATATTGATTCATCGAATGCGGATGGTTCCATTGTAATGGATTCAAGTCATGAACTATTTTTAGCTTTACCATCTCATAGTCGATTTACATGATTTTATAGATTTTTTTTTTGTTGAAATAAAAAAACACAACGATTATCTAAAAAGAAGGAACAAAACATTAACATTTCGACAAATCATCTACTGATCTATAAATAAGGCATTCTACACATAAAACTTTCACAATCGATAGTTGTTTGTTTTCATATGTATTCATCTATATCTAAACTTGATCGAGATATTGCACGTTCATTTTTAAATACACCATTAAATGTTATTTCATGCGTACCAATGAAAATGAGAAATGAACAAAATCATATGATGATGATACCATCTCAAACTGTAATCAATAAAGACACTATAATCGATGATGTTGTACTTCAACCTCATTCAAATGTCCAACTTGGCTTTCCAACAAATACAAATATTATTCCAATGTATTATGATGTCATTGTTGATACAGTCACTGATTATGATAGTAAGTGGATATAATGAGCATTACAGTGCTTTATTCAGACTTTTTCTTACAAACGAACGACTTATAATTCCAAAAGGGACAACTCAATCTTCAGAGGAGTGTCGCCTCTCAGAGTTTTTTCTTATTATGCCTTCTACTATGTGTCTATGCTTCTCAAAATAAATGTTCACCCTTCTCGAAGATAAAATCTAGATAAAAAATTGCAGCGTTACAAGGCTCATCCATTTTTTTATTAGATACAGCTTCATCTTTAGTTTAAAATCACATGTTTCATTGATTGATACTTATATAATAACAATAAAATATTCTTAATGTTTTCAAAATTACCATAAAAGTAGACCGGTACAAGTTTTAAATGATAAAAAAATTATACATTTCAACAAAGCCATACATTTTTAAACTAAAATTTTGTTGACAGTCTGTCTTTAATTAAATTTTACTCAACATCCTTGGATTTAAGCAAAGATCTGATATCTGAAAAATGTTGTACTTTTATATATGTGTATTCTTGTAATCCTAAAACAGTTCATTCTATCGTAATCAATCATGTTCTGATTGCTGTTGAAAAAGAGATACAGTAAGTAATAAAAACAGTATTCCATCAGAAATAAACAATAAGTCGAGTTCTGATATAACTTTTAAGTGTAGCAAAAGCTAATAAAATTGTTTATATAATCTACAGATATGAGCCTAAAAAGTTACGGCTTAAACATAGCTATTGCTTTGTTTTTTCGGATGCAACAAAAACTAAAGCGAACAAAAATCAAAACAATCTTGTGACTAGTGCATAAGTAGTTATCTGTGAATTATAGCGTTTTGAATTCGACATTACACTCTATCAAACAAAAAGAAAGAATAAGTACTCTATTGTTTTATAATTTTTGCTGTTCTTCTTAGTTCTCTCTTTGAATTTGATGTTGTTTTTTTTTTAAATACTTAGTTTTCTATCCAATGGCTAAACAAACAACAAAATATTATAATAATTCAAATAATGATCAACAATTAATTTCAAATGATCATTTAACAAATTCACGTTATCATGTTCACAGACTTGATGAACTAGCTGTATCAATTGACTTTCCATATGATTATGATTCAACATCAAATTGGTCTCATCATTCTATTGAAAATCAACGATATCCCTATGAACATTTACAACCAATAAAAACTGTTCGATTCAATGATAATCCAACATGGATTCCGTATTCAAGAAATACTATAGAACATACTTCTAATCCCATAGATCAATATTATTTCTATCCAGAAAAAATATCAAAAACAGACAACAATGAACAATCATCTGTACGTTATGTCACTACACCTTTATTTTGGTTTCGTCCTGTTCTTAATCATAATTATGCTATTTGTATACCAACTTCAAGACCAAGTCTTCATGCTTATATAACATCTTCATTTGATCCAATATCATCACAATTTCAAATTAATTCTGCTCCAAATCCAATAATACGGTTTTAAAAACTATGACCTCCTTGTTTGCATTAAGGAGATTTTTTAATTTAAATTATCAGGATGCTGTCCTGACACTTTTTTTATATAGCACCAAAATAAATAATAAATTTAAAATATAACATCATACTAATCCATTCTCGATAGATCATTATCCACCAATTTCGATATTTTGGTGCATTTTCTCCATTAAATTTGTACCATAAATTTTGTTCCCAATTCCCACTAAACCATTGTAATGCATGATTATTAGCTGATATTCGACTCATATTATTTTTTCCTAAATATTCTTCAAGTACATGAGTATGAGTAACACCTATATGTGGACAACATGATGGAATAACATAACGAGCTATATTTCTTATTGATGCTTGACCATTTAACCAAATATCATCAACACGACGAATATCATTAGGAACTTGATTGAAATAGAGATATATATGATTATCAAAAAATAGTGGACGGATTAAATAAGCAGAATTAGCTGTGACGACGCCAACACGATACACTGCAGAAATATAATGTGATTGGATTATATGATAAGCCATTTCATATTTACCACCTACACCCCAAATAAGATCTTCGCGAACTAAAAAGTTGAAGCAAATGACAAGATAATCTTATTTATTGACACTATCTTTTTGAAAGAAATTTTTTTTACCTCGCCAACCTCTGAAGCCAATAATACTATTTGGAAATTTATTTGAATATTCATCTAAGGTAGCGACCGTAAATGGATGATAGTAAAAATCATCATCACAAACCATAATTGCTTGCGATGTCGACTGAAATTCTTTAATAATCGGAAGAAATTTTGTCGCTGGACCATAATCTTCACGTTCTAATAGAATTCGTACTAATCTATCAAATAATCTTGCAAGAATTTTTGATGAATCGAGACGTTGCAGATCCATTTTTAAATATTTTAATGTTAAATTTTTTTGTTTAATTATTTCAGATGTAGGAGATAAATAAATACGAATTTGTTTTGGTAATCTTGTTTGAGATAATAATGAATGAATAGTTAATGGAAGTTCATAATGAAATCTGGTAGGATTACTTGTCAATGATATGATTATATCTGACGAATGAGACTTAGAATGACTTAATCGAATGATTGAAATCGAATGGAAAAGTACAATAAAAAACGGTGAAATAATAAGAATAATAATACAAGTTATAAACGAACGGTAGAATAAACGTCGTCGAGAACGTTTAAATGGTGATCGATAATCAAATAAATGTATTAAACGTCGAATCATATTAAATTTCATAATTTAGATAAACTTTTTTCCTTTCAAAAATGTTATAAAACCTAATGAAATTATTTTCAGCTTTTTGTTACTTGAGTAATAATGTGATACCTAAAAAAAAAACAGTATTGGTCCGATAGAAAAGAATAATTGTAACGCTTAGCTATGTGTACATGTTGAAAGAAAAAAAAAGTAGTAAAGAGAACGACAAAAAAAAATGAATGGTTTACTGCACTCGGTTAGAGAAGAATGTATAAGGGGTCAATACACTTTTATATGTTCTGAAGGGTCAGTCATTTTATGATTGTTTCGCCGTTTTTATGAAATAAATTATATTGACATAATATTGTATTGTCTGAGTCAGGAATTCTTATACGCCAATATATAAAAAATTAGACAATCGATTTGTTGTACAAAATTCAATAAGTTATTTTTTCAGATAAGAATATCTTTCTTGAATTTTTGCATTGAACAAAATAGATCATTATTTTCAAAAAATTTTATTTTCATTTATTTCTTCGTAAATATTTTTCAAATGCCTAAGTTTTGATAAAATCAATATGTGAACAACATAACAAATATTACTAGGAACTTGAGCGAAATCAAGATAAATATAAGAATCAAAAAAAAAATGTTGAACGGAATAGATAAGCAGAATTAGCTGTGACTACGTCAATAAGATAAACTTATGCTAGACGATTTGATTGAATGATGTGATGAACAGCCTGAAACGAACGACGTACACGTCCTAGATAAGATCTTAATGTAATGAGAAACAGTGAATCCTTATGCCCAATGTGTATTTATTGTTGAATTGAAAATTCTTTTCCGGTGAACATGAAAACAACAGAAAAAAAATCTTCTAGCTGAATTTTAGAAATTTCTTATGAAATCAATGCTGACTTTGCCAATCTTTTAATTCAAAAAAAAATTTTTCTAATAATTTTAGTTGAATTTTCATTTCATGTAGTCACCGTATGTAAATAATATTGATGGTCATCATTAGAGACTTAGATTCATTTGTCTTTAGTAATTTTGTTTTGGTAATAGTTTCTGATGGATCTAAACTTTTTATTAAGATTTTAAAATGAGTTACTGCTAGATTTTTTTTTGTTTAATAATTACAGAAATAGGTGATACATAAATACAATTTTATTTTGATATTTATCTTTTGAGATAATAATAAATGAATAGCAAATGAAAATTCATAGTGACATTGTTTAGGAGTATTTGCTAGTGAAATGATTACATTTAATGAATGAAAACAACATTGAATGCAACGATAAATGAGTACTGAATAAATAATTGCAAATAGAATTAATTGAAGACAAAGAAAAAAAATGAGGATGACATGCTTTGTTTTTGCAGTCTTCGTCAGTAAAAGTCTGGAACTACAATTCGGAATATTTTCCGCATATTCTTGCATTATAGAGAAAGAACATATATGGATATTTAATAATCAAATCTCAATTGGTAAAATACTATGATAATTTTCTGTTTAATGATGTGAAACGTCATGATAAATCGATCAAATAAACAAACAAAACAAGACAAAGTAAATTATGATACATTTTTGACAGTTGTAACATATAAAGCGTCATTGAAACACATTGGTTACATAACATGAATAGTACATATAATGCAGTTTGAAGAACAAAATGTGTTTTCAGTTTTTATAAAGGCTAGACAATGTTGATTCGTCATATAAGTTATGAATGCATATTACTATAAACTCAAAGCCATTTGTATTCTTTTTTTATAATCAAATGTTTAATCATGCATGTCGAAGCTTGATAGATGACGATATTATAATATTTTTATTCAATCAAAAAAAAAAAACAATAGAAAAACAAAGAAAAAATAATGTTGAAGGTGATTGAATCTAATGGCATTGATTTTTTTTTTAAATACATAAATGATAAAAAGAAAAATAATTTAAATGGAACTATTGATTTATAATATTCTGATTATGTCTTCAATAATCGGTAAAGAACTAAAACAATAAAAGCTGAGAAAGTTATTGAACGCTTTCCATTGACTAAAATTTATGTGCAACCAAGTTATAATATTTTCAATGAAAATTGATTAAAACAAACTATTTGCAAAGTAAAGGCTGAGATACGGGTGAACACCATCCCCTGTCTCACATTAGCACTCTCTATTCTAACTAAAGTATCATTTTAGAAACATCTCTAAACTTATCTTCTTTCGACTCAATTTCAACAATCAATGTTTGATTTCAGCAGTTTGTGATTCCGTTAAAAGAATATTTTCTTCATATTCTCTTTTATTATTTATCCACACCTATGCAATCTGCTATTCCTTGTTCAAAAAACAAAATAAAATTATTACAGTTATATAAGTAACTGAATGATATTTCAACAGATACAAATATTTATAATAAGAATCTTTAAATAATACGTGGAATTAGATTGCTATTCACCCAAGGAAATCCCCAATAAATAAATAGTTGAATGCTTATTAAATAACTATGAATATTCATTGAATAGCTATGAATATTTATTAAATTATAATTGCGATTAAATAGCTATTCATTCAGATAGATTGACAATAAATAAATAACTGACTACTTATTAAAAGTAAGTATATTACTATAAAACCTTTCTTATACATCTGTTTTATATCTTTATCAACTTTCTTGAGAATAAGAATGTATCTATTTTGAGAATGAACCGTTATACAGCGATGTGGCGAATAACTTTTTAAAGCTTTATTAATAAAGGAAACAGTCGACCAACTTGAAGTATGAAAAAATAAGGATATTCCACTCGAATACAACATATGTTAAATTTGTCTTTGCCTTTCTGATTTATTTCAAGTTTAATATTCCTAAAAAAGGATTAAAATAGGCTTTTTCGATATGCATATATTGATAGATCTCATCGAATTCGACCGAAACGTACAGATTTTTCTTTATGCAAAAAGTGCAAAATGTAAAATGCTTTGTCATGATTAATTAAGCAATCATACCCTTTCATGATTGCGACGCAATTTGAGTCATTTTTTCTAGACGGTAGTGATCATAATTGTCTATGAAATTGCATACTTCAATCAGCTATTTGCTCATGTACTTCATATGAATAATATCAATTTACCGACAAAAAATACAAAACTTTGGAATATACTTTAAATTATGGTCTATGCTTTAAAAACAAGTTATTCTTTCGTCATTTCAACTCAAAGATTTCTATCAAACAAATTATCTTATTTTTTTCTGCTGTGTCAAATGCTAATTTACATGTTGTATTGCATCAAAGGTAATTGATTAGATCCAATTATTTTTTTTGCACGTGTGCAATTGATATCTAACGCAATATAACACTGACAAACACATGAGAAAAATGTGGAGAATGTTTTTCTTCTATATTCAAAATTCTATTAGGGCAAAAGAAATAATAAATATCAAATATATTCAATATTTGATATTTCATTATCTAAATGCTGAATTGAAGAAACATGAAGAGTATATTATTGGCTTCTCTTTTGTATATTACTGCTGTTAATGCTCAGTCATCATGTGATGAAGTATCGTTCGTTGATCGAGCTGGATGGGGTGCACGAAAACCAACTTCAATAACAAATTTAACAAGAAAACCTCTTTCATTTTATGTTATACATCATACTTATCAACCTTCAAAGTAGATATATTCGATAAAAAATTATTTAATTAAATTCATTATATATAGTTGTTATGATGATGCATCATGCATTCAACGAGTACAAGCTACTCAAACTTTTCATCAAAATGAGCAAGGATGGGTAGATATAGGTTATCATTTTTTAGTTGGTGAAAATGGAAAAGTTTATGAAGGTCGAGGATGGGATCGTCAAGGTGCTCATTCAACCGGATGGAATGATGATTCATATGGTAAAAAATTTTTATCTAATAACAGATACAAAAATTTTTGGGAAAATGTTGAGCTGCATAGATCAGCAATTGTAGAAGATAAAAAACTAATTCTTTTTTGTGTTAGAGTGAGCATGCCAAGTACTGCAATAAAACTGTATTCAAAGAACTGAATACAGTCCATCTCGCCACATAGCTCGAAGCTTCTTCCGAATACTCTCCTTACCATGACTTGTAATAGCTTTTGAACAACTTCTTTTGCCGTTTGTTAGATTCTTCGAACTAGAACCAAATAATCAACATTTTTTTTTGCTGTCGCATTGTATTCATATATTGTTGTTGTTCAAGTAGAGTCTATACAATTTCAATTGGGTGAGCTTGAGGCACATTTGGTGGATTGTCAGTACGAGAAATAAAAAGTATGTTTTTCTCATTCAAACGTTCTTGAGCAATACTGAATAATGTGCCCTTGCTAAATCGGACCAGAACAGATGACTTTTATTACAATGATAATTATTAATAAAAGGCAACAATCTTTTATTAATACATTCTTTTAAATATATTTCTTGATTGATAGTTTACTTGCTTTTGTGAACATACACATTTATATCATTACATTTGGTTCAAATTTTGTTTTCTTTTGCAAGTTGATGTGTGGAGGAGTTGTAGCTAGATCAGTTGAATGTAAATAGTGATTTCCGGTGACGCTGTTTCTCATCAATTCGAAGTATTTTCCATTATCCACAATTAAATTACAGTCATATAACAATTTCCGATATATACTTCGCCACGATTATTCGTACTAAAAAAATTTGCCGTTCACTATCCATTTTTGAAGTTTTCTGATGTTTTCTTATGACGTCTGATGTTCGTCTTCGAAATTTACGTGAAATTGTTAATTGATGTACTCGAAGTCGTCATGTCATTTTACATTTACTTAGATTGAACCGATTCTACGTGGATTTAACAATATTAATCTAAATCTTGCTGGATAATTTGACTCGGCGACCGCTTTAAGGGCGCTCTTTTGTGGTTCCACATTTGAAATACTTTGTGGTACGCTTTACGGTTATAAATAATTTACCGTAGTTTTTATGGAACTCTTAGAAAAATTGCAGTAGAAATTGCAAATACGTTTTACTGATGCATCTCTTTTGTCGTGTGTCATTTTTGTTACGAATAAACAGTAAAAATATATAACACTTTGATGGAAAGAGGACTGAGCAAGCTATCAGCTGATAACAAAATGTTCATAAGAATATGTGTTTGTCAGTTCAAAAGAACGTTGGACATCTCTTCACAGACTTTTGCATCTATTATTATTATTTCAATCATTTACTTTTTATTTTTAAGGTATTTGTATCATTGGCAACTTCACAGTAGCACCTCCAAATGAAAAAGCATTAAATGCGGTAAGCTCATGGATTAGGTGTGGTATTATACGAGGCAATGTCAAAGAAGATTATTATATTATTACTCATCTACAATCACAACGACCAGGTTATACTGAATGGTAATGTTTTTATTGTTAAGTATATTTTTCATTTTAATTAGTTTTGTGGAACTCACATATGTTTTCGAAGAAAATAGTGAGTGTAAGTTTTAAGTTCGAGTTTTTGCGGCTCCTCCCCCCACCCCTCCCTTTACAAACAGGCTACCATTACAGACCATAACAACCCCAGAAAAAAGGATAAAATATTTTTAATTCAATAATAGAAAAAAAACAGTGTAAAAAATGAGAAGAAATTTTGACTACTCTGGCATAAGC